GACTGGGCTCCGACCAGCTCCGTGCCTCAGTTTCCCCAAGCGTGCTGCCCGGGGAAGGGGTCGGCGGAACCAGTCCAGCCGTGCTGGGTGGCAGCAGCGCCCGGTGGGTCCCGCTCCAGCCTGGCGCAGAATTTCTCCCGGCTGGCAGAACTGGTTTCCATAACGACTTTCTGTTACAAACATATTTTGATAAAAATAAAGTTAAAGCAGCGAGGCTTTAGTGGAGTACAAATTTGCTGCTCTCTCCCTCCCCCTTCCTCCTCCCCAAGGAGGGGGAATAAAGACGGAAAGCTTTCCATTTGAAGGGCAGTATTTTCTCCCTTCTTTTTCTTTCCCCCGCTGAATACAAAATGGAAAGCCTTGTTTACTGGATTTCTCTGTAAACTGGTTCCGACTCTGCCTAGTTACCTGATGCTCTACAGTATATACAGGATAATGTGATAAATTCATTTCCAATTCACTGCATTATCCTTTGAATATTTTAATGACTCATTGAATGGAGTAAAAAAAAAAAAAAAGCTATTTCAAATGAACAATTATGCTGCATTAGAGTAAAGGCTGATTATATTTAAACACTGCTTGCATGGATAACGGGACATATCGACCTCCGCCTATAAGAGCTAATTTGGCTCTTATCTCTAAATAATTTTACACTGCAAATTACCATGAAAACCTAAAGGGCTTTAAAAACATTCATCAAAAGATATTATTCCACTTTGTAGCAACATTTTTATTTAAATTATTTTGAATGGGAGTGAAAGCATCTCTCGTGTTTGACAATCGGAGGAGCAGCGGAGCAGCGGCTGATAAGGAACGGCGAGCCGCACCGCCGGGGCCGGGATGCTCCATCCCTGAAACCCCACCTGGGAACGCAAATTCAGAGCCGAATCCCAAACTTGGTGGCGTGCCAAGGTACTGCAGCACCTATAATGGCATTTAGCGCCACCAGAGCTGCTTCCCTCCAAACCCGGGGATGGCAAAGAGGTGCTGGGATGATGCTGGGGCGATGCTGGGGTGATGCTGGGGCGATGCTGGGGTGATGCTAGGGCGATGCTGGGGTGATGCTACGGAGATGCTGGGGCGATGCTGGGGTGATGTTACGGAGATGCTGGGGTGATGCTGGGGGGATGCTGCGTGCTGGGGTGATGCTACAGAGATGCTGGGGTGATGCTAGGGCGATGCTGGGGTGATGCTATGGAGATGCTGGGGTGATGCTATGGAGATGCTGGGGTGATGATGGGGTGATGCTACAGAGATGCTGGGGTGATGCTAGGGCGATGCTGGGGTGATGCTATGGAGATGCTGGGGTGATGCTACAGAGATGCTGGGGTGATGCTAGGGCGATGCTGGGGTGATGCTAGGGGGATGCTGGGGTGATGCTATGGAGATGCTGGGGCGATGCTGGGGTGATGCCAGGGCAATGCAGTCCCCCAGCCATCGTACCAGGCACCCCATCCCTCCCAGAAAAAGGCACTTGAAAGCCCCTCTCTGCACCAAAGCAACAGAAGGTGTCATGTAAAGCCTACACGGTTATTTTAGAGCCAGTGTGCAAATAAGCCTGTCAGCTGAAGCTCCTCGGAGCCAAGACTTCCATATACCCCCCAACGATCTGCATCTCAACGAGACGCCATGTGTCTGAGCCCAGGGAGCCGCCGGCTTCGCAGGAGCCATTTGGGGCTGGGGGGACTTTGGGAATGCTCCGGCTGCGGCCCCCGGGGGAGGGATGCTGGGACACATGCCCACTGCCCCTATCACCCCCGGTGATGGGGACCCACCTCGGGGTTGGAGCAAGATGAGATCGTCCTGGTGCCCTGCGAGGATGAGGATGGGTTTGGTGGTGTCTCATAGTGCAATGGCGGTTTATAGGTGTATATATGTGTGTATATGTGAGAGATAGATATATCTATACATACACATTAGATGTATATATGGGAGATATAGATCACATCATGATATATATTTATATATAATATATATCATGTCAATATATGTATTTTATATATAATGTATCACAGAATCATAGAATATCTCAAGTTGCAAGGGACCCATAAGGATCATCAAGTCCAACTCACCCTTCATATAAGTGTATATATATATTTATCTCATGATGAGAAAGCTCAGGGAATAGTTGGGGTTGGAGTCAGCCCCATCCCTGGCAGCGACGCGGCCCCTGGAGACGGGAAAGCCCTTCTCCTTCCCCAAAATTCTCCTTTTTCTCCCTCCTGCACGGCCTGGCAAAGAACTTTCTGACATTTTATACCGCAAACTGAACTGCCCAAATGGCAGGGAAAAACCACCTTCCACTCGCGCTGGAGAAGTGGTTTTCATCCCACATTTCCCTTCTTCGCTTAAATGATCTTATACTCAAGAAAAAAAAAAAAAAAAGAAAAGAAAACCACAATAATTAGCAATACCGAACGCCTCAGAAGGATTTGTGTACAGAAGGGAAAACAAGAGCTTGGGCTTCTTTGCGTTTAGTAAATATTAAAATTAATGAGAGACTTTCAGGACCCTGTTGTTAGAAATGCAGAAGGGTTTCTGTGAAGGATTAAAAAAAATAATAATAAAAAAAAAGCCCTGTACACAAATCTCTGCAATTATTCTGAGTGCTTTATATTTTTCAGCCAATTATGAAATTCATGGAAAGTATTAATATCCAATTTTAATTTGCTCAATATTCCCATTAACAATAAAAAGTCTAATTAAGGTATCTGTACAAAAAGCCCTTAGCAGTAATTTCAGAGAATAATAGAGGCGAATGACGAGATATTTCTTGTTAAATGCATGCTGCAAATTAATTGATATCTTAATTAGACTTCAGTACTAAGATTATTAGTTAGATTGATTCAGGGCTGAAATACCTATCTTTTCAAAGATAAAAGCAAGCAGGAGAGGAACAAACTGATTTTCCAAAACCTTTCTGGAAGCAAACCAGCGATACGCTGGGAGAGGTTGGGAGCGATGCCCCACTCAGGGTAAGAGCTCGTCCGTCTGTCCCATCCCTCTGTCCCCTGGCCACGGAGCTGGGAAGCACCAGGAATTCAGCCTAAACCCAGTTTCCCCCTGTTTGCTTCCCCAGGCTGGAAATGCTTTTCATACACAAAAAAAATTAAAAAAAAAAAAAGAAAAAAAAAAGAAAAAAAGAAAAGAAAGAGAAAAAAAGAAAAGAAAGGGGAAAAAAAGGGAAAAAAAGGGAAAAAAGGAAGGGGAAAAAAAAAGAAAGGAAAAAAAAGAAAGGGGGAAAAAAAGAAAGGGGAAAAAAAAGAAAGGGAAAAAAA